CGCACTAGCAACATCTATAATGCAAACAGCAGTTCAGAAACCATCCACTACAATTGTAACAAGGCAAGGGTTGGTCAAAATAAATTATAGTCACCGTGATAAATAGCAAACGAAATACAGAACAAGCACAACAAAGCATTCCACACTCGTTTAGACTGTACAACATGCCTACATAAGACATTGCAGCAGTGTACAAGGAAAACATTCTTTAAAGATGGTAACGTGGGGAGTTTTAAAAGTTTGGTGAACACAGTTACGAGTCACTGCCCAAGAAATGTAGCGCGGTCGCCAGCCGGCCCAGGCGAAAGAGTCGACGGAGACGGCGTCAAACAAACCCGAGAGGGGGTAGTTTCATCCGCATCAGCGGAGGCGCTCTCTCTACCAAGGTCGTCAGTTACCAGCCGCAGCACCCTGCTGGCGATTTGATAGCTGCTCTCATTCTCAGCTGGCTGAGCGCCATGTGCCGGGTCATCCGGCTCCATGATTTCCCCTTTCATTAGCAGCTGCTGTTGTAGTTATTGTTGTTGCGTTCCTTTCAGCCGCTGCCGCAGCATAGCCGTACGGTTCTGGATGGTTCTCACGGCGGCAGCCAGGGTCATCCGTCCTGCCAGCTCCGCCGCCAGGCGCGCGCAGCGTCGCGCGCGCCTGCCTTGCAGATAGTGCTGCCCAAGTCGATCGGCGGACGGCGCTACCGTTGGGATAGGGCGCCAGCCTCACGCGCGAGGGCGTCCATCCGCTCGTTGCCCGGAAGCCCGCAGTGTGCAGGAACCCACTGCATTATCACTGGCTGGCCCCCTCGGTGAGCGCTGCCAGCAGCCCCCATATGTCTGCGGCCAGAGGGGCTCTCTGGGCCGCCGCGCCGCTCCGCAGGAGGGCCAGCGCCGCCATCGAGTCGGTACAGACGATAATTATCGGAAGAGAGGTGTCGCGACCAGTCTTGGTCAACAGCTCCTCCAACACCGCTCTTAGGGCGAATAGCTCGCCGCGCGTGCTAGAGCAGAGGGCGCCTGCCGCGACACGCACCTCCCGGATGTCGCGGTTCAGGAGGGGGGGTGGCCCCTCCTCCTCCATCTAGCACACCATCGGTGGCGGAGCTGTCTGACCAGATCAAGCTCGCCTCAGACGGGAGCTCCGCCAGACGACTTTCCGCCGCCTTGGCTCGCCAGCCGTCGCGCCCAAACTCGCTTCAGGCCGTGAGTCTATAGCCGGCGCGGTGGCGTGGCTTCGTCATGCTGGCCTTGGGCGGGCTGTCCTCAGAGAACGCGTTCGCATTGGCGAGGAGGCGAGCAGCGCCACGAGTCCTGAAATGACCAAACAATATCAATAGACAATCAAAATTGTGAAAATTGGCATTAAGTGCGCAACTGATGTTTGCTTGTTTGTTTAATAGGGTTTACGGGCACTACGGTGGTCATTGTGCACCCATGACGCTGTTCTGGTGAACCTGCGAAACTGAGCAGTGATCATTCCATAACTTATGTTTGGCGTAGTGGCAGGGTTCCACCTAAAATTTCGGCGCACGTCAGGTGTAACGTCACATGCGACAAATTCAGCGCATGTCAGTTGGGCAGACTAAGGCTGCTGGAATAATATAGAACGAGGGCACCAAAAATTGATCCTAAATGACCATACTTGGACATTAATGCAGACCCTCTCTGTATCACCAATTGTCAGAAAACAAGCATGTGTTTGAAAGAGCGTTAGAGAGTCATGAAGCCAGGATAAAACACAGTGCTATTTTCTCAAAGCAGCTTTTACATGATAAGAGTTAGGAAACTCTCTCTCTCTCTCTCTCTCTCTCTCTCTCTCTCTCTCTCTCTCTCTCTCTCTCTCTCTCTCTCTCTCTCTCTCTCTCTCTCTCTCTCTCTCTCTCTCTCTCTCTCTCTCTCTCTCTCTCTCTCTCTCTCTCTCTCTCTCTCTCTCTCTCTCTCTCTCTCTCTCTCTCTCTCTCTCTCTCTCTCTCTCTCTCTCTCTCTCTCTCTCTCTCTCTCTCTCTCTCTCTCTCTCTCTCTCTCTCTCTCTCTCTCTCTCTCTCTCTCTCTCTCTCTCTCTCTCTCTCTCTCTCTCTCTCTCTCTCTCTCTCTCTCTCTCTCTCTCTCTCTCTCTCTCTCTCTCTCTCTCTCTCTCTCTCTCTCTCTCTCTCTTTCTCTCTCTCTCTCTCTCTCTCTCTCTCTCTCTCTCTCTCTCTCTCTCTCTCTCTCTCTCTCTCTCTCTCCGTTAACCATTCGCAAGGCCAAAAAGGCCAATTGGTTTTGAAAGGCATTGGATTACAAGCTGAGCATTTTTTACTTTATCATAAAATGTTAAACCTGCGTGTAGATGAAGTCTGTAGGCTGACAGGTGGTTTGTAGGCTGACAGGTTGGAGGTTGGAGGTTAGTAGGGAAGGTAAGGTCAGGATAATTTCTGCTTTTTATTTTCATTGGACTTCAGTCTTAATCAACACACGCATCAAAAAATATCATCTAGTTGAGCATCTTCAAGCCTCAATACACAACAAGGTGTACCACAACAAATTAAAAAATGATGTCATGCCAATATATGGTCATGATTATTACCACCACTAATATTTTGATGCCTGAAATCTGATTAACCAAGCATTTTTTCTTGTGTTGGCAGTCTAAAATTTGGCTGGCTTGAGCACGATGCTATTGCTCTAGCAGAATCTCAAATGGATGTCTACTAAGTGCCACTCCCAAGAAAGTTTTCAAGATTCTAAAACCACAAACTTTGTTGATGCCTGATCGTGTGATGGTTAATCAAATGATACCACTCCATCTGAGGCCAGTTTTACAAACAGAAAATAGCCACCTGCCGGATTATTTTGCCTAAAGGCTAATTCACATATGGAGCATAAATGGTGAAGCCCTTCCTGGCCCTGCTTACATACATGCCAATCACGTTTACTCTCTGTATGTGGTACCTACGTGGAATGGATATATAAGGAGAAAAATTCCAGGCCAAGGCAGCTATTTTTGTTGGTAAATCGGGTAAAGTAAAACTGGCCCCTGAACAAAAATTTAGACTGACTGAGATCTGCCGGCTCTTTGGTGGTTTGAATAGGAGTTGATGATTTTAATTGAAAGATTAAAAGGAAAGGGTTTCAAGACAATCGGCATGACAAACCAACACCTTACCTGCAGTTCAAGTTTATCGATTTCAATTTCTTCATCAAAATCTAGTCTTCGTCTAGTCCACAAATCAAGATAAAGTTACTGGATAGGTACAACTTCTTCTTATCCTTCTTCTGCACCTCACCCGCCGCCCCCTACACTTCTCCCTTATTCTGATAAACATATTTACATAATTTTCACAAGAATGCCACTCAACGGGGTAGATCTAAAAACGTGCAGGGCTTAAATTTTGAGCTATAGAGTTCTCAGTGATTTTGAGACACCCAATATGTCTTCGGCACGCCGTATTTGTCTCTCACTGCCTGCGAATTCGGCGATATGATTGGTAGAAGGCCGAGGCTATGGGTCCAAGAAAAGGCCAAGATTCCTGCCAAGATTCTTACAGATAGCCAAGGCCGATGACTGACGTGACTGACGGCAATGGCATGTTACTGCCCTTGGCATATTGCCAATGCACTGCTCGGTCATATCGGCAGTAATGTCAACAGTCATATCGGAAGTTATATGGTAGCTATACGCAAAAACCATTTGGCGTATAGCTACCATATTTTTCCGATAACGAGACATTCTAGATCAATCTCTCTGCTGTTGGCGACATCTGCTGAGAAATCTCAAGACCGAACGCAAGCACATAAAGTAATGCACTCTAAGGATGCGTTCGAAATCTGGGAAGTGACGGATTTCATTCCTCAATGCGTGTCCCGGCCTTCCCCATGCTGTTTGTTCCGCCATCTATTGCCATGTTTCGCATTCGCACTTCATGAATTCACCACCCCGCCAAGTAGGTTGGTATCAAGTTGGTATAGGTGTCGCATTGCTCTGGTCGATCAGGCTGAGCCAGCTGTCTGGAGAGTGGAGCCGATCAAAAAAAAAAAAAACGCAGAAATTCAAAACACCGACTCCAAAGCAATGGCAGCATGCATATCAATAGAGCGTAATTCTGTCATGATTGCGTCAGAAGCAAACATACTGGCAAGAGTTTCTTGTGTGTCGGTAGGCGCGTGTGGAGTCGCTGGACCGACCGGGGACGTACCCAAGGGGGGACGGACGGGGTGCGCCTCCCCCTAGGGGTTTTCAGGGCCCATGCTGGCAGAAGGCCCACGTTGGCCAAAATCACGTCGGAGACGAACGAAATTCATGGGAATCCCCCAAAAAATCACGTCAGGACTCAGGACAATCAAGGCTCTCCGACTCGCCTGCCACCTAGGGTCCTTCAATTTACTGCATGGGGCCTCCTGTGAATAACCGCTAGTGTCTGTGTCTGACCACTAGGACCCCTCTGACTCCTCGGGTAGAGGGCCCTCTGTAGGTAGGAGGCTCTCTCTACGGGATTCCTCCGCTCCCCCCCCTCGGCCAAATTCTAGGTTATACGTGCCTGCGCTAAGCCGGGGTCGGAGAGAGGAGTTGACGACCGAATGACAAGGAGTACTCGTCCTGAAAGTAAACATTTGGAATATAAACAATCCAAAGCTGTTCAGTATTTATATCATTCGAGAGCAGTGCCTTCAATTTGGATACACTTAGCATTCATTTCCCACACCCGTGTACACTCCACGAAGGCTTCTCCGCTGCGGACTCCCGCTTCCGCCGATGCGTCAGTTCTGTTATGGTCGGTAGTGGCGATTAACACGGCGATATCCCTGAAGCGACACAGGACGACCGAAACACGATGGCGGCGACCATGGAACTGTTTATTTTTTATGTGCTTCCATATGACCGGGGGGTGAGACCAAATGAAGGGAAAGGAAAACGTGCCCCATCACAACACCCCCCCCTCAAGACGCATGCGTCGGTACAAGATACGCATTGCGTCTACGGTCTAACACATAAACAAAAATGTACACCACACACAGTGTGGACGCACGAACTCAGTCGTACGTCTGGTCCGCCCAGCGCACGGTCAGTCGGGCCGGACGGCGACGGCGACGCGTCCCACGGCGCACTGAGCTGGGGTCGTCGGCGCTGTTCCGCAGTACCGGTGGTGCCGGCTGTCCGCCCGCCGGCGCAGCGGCGGCGGTCTCCTCCGTGCCGTCGGGTGCCGAGCTCGGAGCGAGCTGCTGCCGGCGCCCGGGTGCAGGTGTGGCGGCGCCCTCCGAGATGAGAGATCTCTGGGGTCGCAGATGGCGCTGGTTCCGCCAGTAGACTCGGCCACTGGGCAGTCGGACCAGGTAGTCGCGCCGCTGTCCGACCGCCGTGATGACGCCGACGCGGTCCCACAGCCCAGACCGCGGGTCTTGGACGAGCACACGCTGACCCATGGTGAGCGTGCTGTGCTGGCGGGCTGTCGTGTCGTACCGCTCGGCTGTTTCCTGTTGCTGCGCGGCGGCCCTGGCGTCACAGTCGTCCGCCGCCCGCTGCCAGCAGTCGGCGAAGGACCGGTGGTGCGCCGGCACTGCCGATCTCAGCGGGTGGCCGAACAGGACCTGAGCCGGAGAGCGGCCGTCGGCGCGCGGCGTGTTGCGCAGCTCCAGCAGCCCCTGAGCGTAGGCGTCCGTGTCGAGCTCACCGCTGCTGGTCGCCTTCTGGATGAGCCGTTTGGGGGCCTTGACCGCCGACTCGGCGTGCCCATTAGACTGAGGGTAGTGCGGTGTGGAGATCTGGTGCTCCACTCCCCAGCGGCGCAGAAACTCTCGGGTGAGCCGGGCGGTGAACTGGGATCCACCGTCTGTCCGGAGGGTGGTGGGCACGCCGGTGGCCGCGAACATCTGGCGCAGGCTGCAGACCAGGTCTCTGGCAGTCGCCTCGCCGGCCACGTGCGACACAAACGGCCACCCGGACAGCCGGTCCGCGTATACCAGGAACGTGCGGCCGGCCCAGGCGAAGAAGTCAGCGGAGACAGCCTCAAACACTCGTGATGGCGTCTTTTCCGGCATCAGCGGCTCCTTCTGCTGACTGGGCAGGTACTGCTGGCAGGCCGGGCACGCTCCGACATGGTTCGCAATGTCACTGTCCAGGAACGGCCAGTAGACTACCTGCCGCGCGCGGCGTTTGGTGCGCTCGACGCCCTGGTGACTGGCGTGCAGGCGCTCGAGCGTGGCGCGCCGCAGACTGGGCGGTATCACGAGCCGCTGGCCGCACACCACCAGGCCGTCATCCACGGCCAGCCGGTCCCGAACTCCCCAGTACGGTCGGAGGCGCGGGTCCAGCTGTGACCGGTGCTCTGGAAACCCGTTCAGGATCAGGTCAGTGAGTGTGATGAGCTCCGGATCGGCGGCGGCGGCGGCGCGCACCTCTGTCAGCGCCGCGTCTTTGAACGGGCTGGGACTGTCGTCCGCCCCGTCGGTGGCCAGCCGTGAGAGCACGCTGGCGAGCTGATGGCTGGCGTCCCTATCGGCTTCCTCGTCCTCAGGCGCCGGGTCATCCACCGGCGCGCGCGACAGCGCGTCCGGGATGGCGTGCAGCTTGCCTTGCCGCCAGGTGGCGAGCAGGTTGAACGGCGCCAGCCGTTCTCGTAGCCGCTGGAGCCGCGGATTTTCGATCTCCGCAAGGCTCTTACTGTTGAGGATCGGGATGAGCGGCCGGTGATCGGTCAGGACTTCAAACCGCTGCATCCCGCCGAGATAGATGCTGCATTTCTTGCAGGCCCAGGCCAGGGCCAGCAGCTCCAACTCGATCACGGCGTACCGCGACTCGGCGTCCGATAGGAAGCGTGAGCCGCACTGGATCAGTCGCCACCGGCCTGCGGCGTCTTGCTGCAGCAGGCAGTAGCCCAGGCCGCCGGAGCGAGCGGCGTCAGTCTCAGGACTGTGCGGCGGCGAGGGTCGTAGAAGTCGAGCACGGGAGGCGACGTGAGTGCCATCTTCACCGCGCTGAACGCCTGCTCGTGCGCTGGCGTCCACAGCCACGCGTTCCGCGGCCGCAGCAGCTGTCTCAGCGGCTAGGCGGCGGCGGCGACCTCTGGGGAGAAGGCGCCGAGCTGGGTCACCAGGCCGAGGAACGACCGTAGGTCGGTGATGTTGCCCGGCCTGGGGAAGGCCTGGATGGCACGGACTTTCTTGCCGTCGGCGGTATAGCCAGCCGAATTGATGCGAAAGCCGCAGAATTCGACCTCGTCTTCCGCGAACTGACATTTGTCCGGGTTGAGTGTGATACCGTGCTGGTCACACCTCAGCAGAATCTGCCGCACGTGCTGCAGGTGGGCGGCATAGTCAGCGTCATAGGCCAGGACGTCGTCCACGACCTTACACGTGCGCGGGATGTCGCCGAGCGCGGCGTCACCGCGCTGGTTGTACACGTCGCCAGAGCTGACGATTCCCATTGGAGCACTCAGGTACCGGTAGCGGCCCCACGGCGTGATAAAACACGTCAGGTCTCTGTCTTCTGGCCGGATGGGGACCTGGTGGTACCCCGCCTTGCTGTCCAGCTTGGTGAAGTACGCAGCACCGGGTGAGACGAAGGCGACTGCGTCTTGAGGCGAGCGGACCGGGTACGTCGGTCGCTTCACGAACCGGTTCAGTTTCGTGAAGTCCACGGTCAGCCGACAGCCGGACACTGTGCCGTCTGACGACCCCTTGGCCACAGGAACGATCGGATGACACCAGTCTGTGGGGTGCTCCACCGGCTCGATGATGTCCTTTTCCATCAGCTCGTCGAGTTGCAGTCGCACGTCCTCTCGCCAACAGAACGGGATATTCCGGGCGGTGGTCACAGCGTGAGGGACGGCGTCGTCCGTCAGCTCGATCTTCATCGGCTCCCCCGCCATCTTCCGCAGGGTCGACTTCGTATCGAAGACCCTCGGGAACTCGGCTTTCAATTTGTCGAAATCTGCCCGCCGCTGCCGTGCGGAGGGGGTGCCACCGGCGGCCGGGCCGCGCGCGCGGCCGGGCGGCGGCGCGCGCGTAGGGCCGGGCGGCGGCGCCCGCCCGGTCGGGTCGGCGCCGGCCGAGCTGGCGGCCGGCCGGTCGGCGGCAGAGACGCGGCTTAGGTCCCGGGTCTCCTCAGGTGCCGCCGTCGTGCCGCTGCAGCGCCGTAGTGCGGGCTGTCTGCCGGCGGCGGGGGCCTCAGGCGGCTCGCCGGGCGGCGGCGGCTCCGGTGCCCCACCGTCCGTCCCAGTCTCGGCTGCCGAGCCGCGCTGGCAAATATGCCGGGGGAAGCTCGCCGGCAGAATTCCCAGGCCGATACAATCGTGCCACGACAGCAGTGGTGAGTGCAGTGCTCGCAGAACGGACACCTGCATGGTCTGTATGACGTCACCGAGCTGCAGGGTGAGGGCGCACGTGCCCACACAGTCCAGCCGGCGACTGTCGGCGGCCCACAGCACAGCCGTGGAGGGCGTGAGGTCCGCTCTGCTCACTCCCATGGACTCGGCTTGTTGCAGTGAGAGGGCTGATATCTCGGCGCCGGTGTCGGGCGTCCATACGGTCGACCGCCTGACTCCGTTTGGTAGGTGCAGCTGTAGCCAGACCTGCGGCGACCGGTGGGCCGTCACACTGTTGAGGCGCGCGCCCGGCGTCCGGGCTGCCGGCGGCGCTGACTGCTGCCGGTTCCCCGTGTCTCTCGTGGTTGCATTCGCTGCCAGCACCGAAACCTGCCGATGCGACGCGTCGGCAGCCGTGCTGACACGGCGGCGGCTGATTGCGCTACGGTGGCGCCGGCCCCTCCCCTGGCGGCTGCTGCTCGCGCTACGGTGGCGCCAGTCCTGTCCCTGGTGGCTGCGCTCGGAACTAGGCGTCTGCCGGCGCCGCTCTTCAGTGCCCGCGCCATGCCGGCAAACCGAGGAAAAGTGGTCCCGTTCGTGGCATCGGTGGCAGGTGCGAACCAGGGCGGGGCAGGCACGACCGTCCGTGTGCTGCGCGGCACCGCAGCGGTCACACCGCCGGGTCTGGTCGGCCGGGCGCGAGTCCGCGCCGCTCGGCCGACCGCGTTGTCGCCGGTACTCGGAGAGCCGGCGCAGAGACGGCTCGCCCGGGCCACGGATCGCCGAGCTGTTGAGACGGGCGCTCTCGGACGCCCGGCACAGGTCGGCGGCCATCTGGAAGGTCAGATCGGGCAGTTCCAGCATGCGGCGTCTGGCCTCGTCATCACTGGTGCCCACCACCAGATGGTCTCGGAACCTATCATCGGTGCAGTTCGGGCAAAAATCGCAGCAGGACGCTATCTCCTTCAGGGCGCATATAAAATCGTCCACTGACTCGCCTGGCTCCAGCATCCGCATGTTAAACTCGCAGCGGTCGATCACCACGTTCCGCTGCCGCCGAAGGTGGGCGTGCATGGCGGTGATTACATCGGCCATGGACGCCTCGGCCGGGATGGGCAGGCCAAACCGGACCAAGCGGGCCCAGTCGTCGTCGAGAACAGCGAGCAGGGCGGCCCGCTGCTCAGCCTCGGTGAGATCGTGGACGCCGGTGAGGAGGCAGTAGCCGGAGAACTTCTCTTTCCAGGCCTCAAACTCCTTGAGGGTAGCGGTAGCCGCCAGCCGGGGCGTGGGCGTGCCGGCGGCGGGCATGCGTGCACGCGGCCGGGCGCCGGAATCGGCCCCGCGGCTGCCTCGGCGGGTGCCGTGGCGTCCTGCACGGCCGTCGGGCCGGGAAGCACCCGCTCCATCAGCGCGGCCATCCGGTCCTCACGTCGCGCTGCCGCTGCAGCCAGCTCCAATTGCTGCTGCAGCATGCCCCGAAGCAGCTCCATCTCAGACGGCTTCTCGGCGGCGGCGGCCGACTGCGCCTCATCGCCGCCCGCCATCTTGGACGCGCGCGCAGCACACAGATGTCACTCGCGACTGGCGACACGAGCATGAATCAGAGATTATCCCAGCCGCTCGCCAGGTTTCGTGCCCTTCCCCACGCCAGCCCGTCACCGACTTCAGTCGGCTAGGCGGCCCATCTTCCGCGATAGTCCTGAGGGCTTGCCCTCGGGGAGCGCGTGCGCCTTGGCGAAGAGCTTCGCTACCAGCACGTCTCGCCGGGCGGCCAGCGGGCACCGGCATCAATCAGTCCGGCCTCCGCCATCACTGCGTGGGCTGGGGTAAACAAGGGGCAGCCGGTGATATACAGGTCACCGCCCGCATCTCCCTCTGGAGGAGTTCCACGTGGGATTGTGGCGTCACCAGGAGCCAGGTGGCGGCCGCGTGCACCAGCACTCCACGGACGTATCCAGACGCTACAGCGCAGAGCTGTCGTTCCTCTAGTCCCCAGCCCCGCGCTGTCAGCTTGCGAAGCTGCTGGATCCGGGGAGCACTCGGGAGCGGAGACTGCGGCAATGGGCCCCGAAGTGAAGGAGCAGGTTGAGGGGGTGGCTCCGAGTAGTTTGAGACGGTCGGCTGCTGGAACCGACTTTCCGTCGACTTTGATGGCGCAGTCCACGGCGTCCGCGGCGCTCTAGGAGACGACGAGCAGCTGCGTATTTCAGCCGCTACCAGCATCTTGGACTATTTTGCCCAGCACACCACAGCGTCCGTCGCCTCCTGCATCCAGCCCCAGCTCAGTATCGTCTGTTTCCATTAACACTCTGAAATGACAAAACAATTAGCAATTAAAATCCAAGTTCAGCACTGACCAAGTTTAACCAAACTTGCCATTTACACATAACACAGTGAGCTGTCAGAATGCTGTTCTTTTGTGCTTTGACACAGTTGCAAAATAGGTACCTTCATACGTATATCATAGAAGTAATTACTGGTTATAATTATTAGAGGAATTTTTGCAGCATTCTCGTCAAGTAAAATACATTATCTTCTTTAAAAGGACCATAGTTTTGTACATCCTAACATCATCAAGAAGCAGTGGTGGTATATGCTGCTTTGCGCGCAACATCGGTCGCACTTTTAAAATACCAAATAACGGTTTCCCAAAGACTTCGTATGAACAGCGTAGGCCCCAGGAAATAAATAATAAGTGATCTATAAAAAACAGTGAATATTTTTCGATGGCAACTAATGTACACCAGTAGATATTCCTTTTTGCTCACTCTCATCCATTGGACATCACTTTTATGCCAATTCATTAGCTTTTTTGAAGGTGGGAGGGTCTCTTTAGGCGTTAAGGCTGCTCACCACCGAGAATTTATGCGGTACGCTGGTCAATCTAGCAGCAGATTCGCCCCGTGGGCAGCTCTGGAGAGGTTGCGGGGCGAGACGTCCCCGCCCCGGTCGTTGCGTGCTCGAACTGGCGAGCCGCCCTGAGTCTACTCAGCGGAGGAACGGCCGCCCAGGTGAGACCTCACCCTTCGGCGTAGAGATAGGCATGGAAAACCTTGTTGAACGTCGCCAAGCGTCGTTAAGCAATAGCAGTGGGCACCTAATTTTTGGCGCAAATCACTCAGAAATTTCGGCGCAAAATCGCTTGCACCGAATTTCGGCGCAAGATGGTCTCACCGGCGTCCGGCGTAGCAGTGTCCCAAAATTGAGTTTTGTCATGGGTGTCAGAGGGGAAAAATACCCACCAAAATGGGGGGGAGGTAGAAAACTGCTGATTCGATGAGATCTAAAAGGAGTGAGAAACAACAAAAACATGTATTTTATTCTAGGGTGTAGAATGTTTGATGCTAAACCTGGCATCCACACAACTGCTCCTGGTAAATAATCCTAAGTTTTCTTGGTTGGGAGTGGGCAATTATTCTTAAATATTGGTGGTAAGAGTGAAAAATGAATTTAATTTGGATGTCGTTTCCCACCCAAATCGACAAATTTTGGGACATTGCCAATGTACCAAAATCCTATTTTTGCTTGGGTGTCAGAGGGGAAAATTGCTGACAAAAAAAAAAAACGATGAGTGAAAAATTGTCGGTCAGGTAAGGCCCAAAAATAGTGGGAAAATGGTCAAAAACATTAATCTATCTACAATTGTGACAGATGTAAAACAACCATTCCTGCAATTGCTCCTTCTCGGTGGAATTGGGAGTGGAAAATTGGGCTTGAAAACTGGATGTGAGAGTGGAAAATGCTTTTTTGCATTTCGATGTCGTTTCCCACCCACATCTACAAATTTTGGGACACTGCGCAGCAGTCAATGCACATTATCATTATGGTTCAGTCGCAAGCATTGCTTTAATCAACGACAGAAAATTATTTTGCTATCATGCATCATGAATTAACAAGAATTTTGTTCATATTTTTGTTTTTACCTTTTCTCATTATTTCATGCACACCTTAAAATCATGAAACTGTAGGGAGCAACTGATTTGAAGATAGGAAGGTCCTTGCTACATTTCTCGACATTATCAAAACATCTTTTTCCAAGCATACCTATCAACATCCTGGAAATATGACTAAGCAATATATTGAGGTTCCATGGGCGGCGCCACCGGGGGGGACGGGGGGGACAGGTCCCCCGCTATCGAAAGTTAGTGGGGTACAGTACCCCCCTATCGGCGAGGTCCGTTCAATAGTTGATAATAATGCATTGTAGAGTTATCCGTCGCATTTAATACATCGTTGGTTAATCAAGACAGGTTCTGAATAAAGATTGCTGTTGGGATGTATCGCAGGGGGTCCTGGCCATCTGCAAAAGGTGTGGAGCTGTGATGCCTGTAGTCATAAGGTGATCGGCAGGGCCTCGGGGATCGTGCCCCCCCCCTTTTTGGGGCGCCAGACAGGGTTTATTACCTCCCCCACCCCACTGCCAGACCACATTGCCGACAAAACCAAGTTTACTGAAATTCCATAGATTTCCGTTACTATATGGATATTTTCCATTCCTAATTAGTCAAATTCAAGCATGGCAGCTCTACCACAGGAACCATTTGAAATATATGCCATTTAACCCAGCACTTGTGGGCAGAAGTGTTCGGATAGATCACAGGCAGGACCAAAAAAGCACGCCGTAGCCCAAGATCTTATAATTGGGTAGCATCGGCACCCTCTCGTCAAGGGGTTCGATAGCACTCGTTTTTTTTTCTGCAAAACTAAGTTCGGTCGGCGGCCGAACGGCTGGGGGTCTAATCAAGCCCCCTTCCCTCCCCTTCTTACGTCAGCGGCTGTGAAAATGCCATTACCAGCTGTTGAAACATGGCAGTTGCTTTTGCATGAGTGCACGAAAGGGTTTTAGGTACGTGATACGTGAAAGGTTCTACATGAAATTGAGATACACCAGCTTATCAAATTGTGCTCACTGTGGTGCGCTCGGTTTTACCTTGACTAGTCTTTGAATTCTGGGGTGAAACAGACCAGTCAAGAAACCTGTTCCATAAGGAGAGCCACTGATGCTAAAGAGATGAGGGATGAGGTTTCAAGAGACCTTCATTACCTCCCAAAGGGGTGCCACGCCATTTGCCAATCCCTGCTGTAGTTGTTACGATTGGAGGGTGAATATGAGAACGATGCAGGTCGTGACAGCTCGATCATGACGAACACAATGGTGCCGACATCACAGCTCTATGTACCGCAATTTTTGACGAAGTTAATCAACAAGGACCGGAATCCTACCCTGGGGTCCTACCCACTTCATCCTATCCTTCAATCCTATCCTTCCAATCAATCCTATCCTTCAATCCTACCCACTTCACCTGCAGAGGTCGCCGGACCTGAGACCCTTTCACTCAATTTTTTCAACGGTGCATGCGGCATGCGCTCGTTTTTCCCTTGAAGCTCTTGGTAAGTAAAATCCATCAGAAAGTGTGATCAAATAACGGCTGGTGACCTTCCATGACCTAGCATGACCTTTTGAGTGACCACCGATGACATGACCACTGACGGCTAGCCATTAGCTGCACCCTGCCCGTTGCATATGGATCAGGTGGTGATGTCATGATTCTGAAATTATATTGCAGTTTTGGCGCACTTGTCAGAGCAGAAAACATTCCCACTTTTCCTCCATGACTATATGATGATGAAGCCATGAAGCTGACCAGACGCAAGATCGAAAATTTGAAAGTACGAAACGTAAGTAGTTGGCACTGCTACTCATACCTAAGCAATTCGCAGCTTGTAGGAAACCAGCTTTGAGTTGGCAAGACTGCAAATTTTGATTTAGAGGCAAGGATGCTTGAAAAGGTGATCGATCTTATAGTTGTCCTATGAATTATGATAAGTTTGGAAACGGGATGCACCATTCGATGTGTTTTGGGCTTTGCCAAGTTTCGCGGCGTTACGTGCCTCGTTTTTTTTTTTGCATACACGATCAGTATCTACTTTTGGGATTCTCAGTCAGGCAAGCCCCCGTCCCCGTCCCCCCCCCCCTATCGAAAACCCGTGGCGCCGCCCCTGGATACCCTTGACAAGGCAAATGCACCAACTTTTAAACCAAAACAACTTTACCAACTTTTAAATAAATTTGTGACTTCCACTGATACTCCCTTACAAAAATCATTGCTGTTGCCTGCTGGATCGAAAAGCGAAAGAGCGCTCTCGACCCTTCCGTGAGACCTTCACAAACTTACCAGGAGTCTGTAGTCAGAACACGGCACCGTATTTATATTGAAAAAGGGTATTATAACGTATAGAAGAGTAGCGACTAGCGTCTCACAGACCTTAGGCAAAAATATTTCTCTTGATGACATCCACACAAGGCCAACGCAATCAAACGCAATGTAGATAGGCATATCAATATAGAAATGATATGTCCAAATATGTCTTTGCCGCGTCATAGTTGTAACGCACTGCGGGGAACTCCAGAGATCTGATTGGCTAATATTAGCCAATCAGTAGCATATGTTACTGGAAACTGTCATAGTGGAAGTAAATTGGTAGCTGTTTCAGCTACCAAACTGATGAAGGAAATAGGTAAAATTGCTTATTTTACACGAAC